CCGTGGAGCCGCCGAGGGCTGCGGTGACGGTGTGCGGGCACGGAGCCCCAGGACAGCTTTGTCTGTCAGCAGTAACGGGGCAAGCGGAGGCCCCGGTGACGCTCTGCGTTGACAGCGGCACCGCGAGCGGGTGCCTCTCCGGGTGCTCTGGCTTGGGCTCACTTCACCAGCGTCTGTGAGGGGCTCACGATCTTCAAATCTATGTATTCTCATTTTTAGGAACAACTTTTATCCCCATGCTAGAAGCAGGCGATGAGGCAGTGCAGTGATGTTAAACAATTTGTACAAGGTTAAAAATGAGCGTTTGTTTCAGAACGGGGAGTTAAACTCATGCCTTTGTGTTCCCGATTTAAAACTGTATCAGTAAAACATCCCCTCTTTTCTCACTCAGTACTGGAATATTCGTAAGTACAATTCCAGTGTGAAATAATGGATTCACACTGCTTATTTTCAGTATTTTTTTAACGTTGCTGTAAGAATTACTTGGGTGGAAGGAAATGATTGAGGTTTGTCTCTGAAGTTCAAGGATTCAACATTGCATAAACTCCTGATAGTATGCACCCTGAAAACCTGCCGGGAACACCCTCCGGAAAGGGGTGGATGAGGTGACCCCCTCCAGCCCCGCTCGCACAGGCTGCGGCTGGGTGTGCGTAGCGAGGGCTGCGCAGAGCGTGCGGTGCACAGGCATCCCCCGCAGCTCCCTTCCTTCTGCGGGGCTCTCTGCTCCAGCCCTAACGCGAGCGATGCGGCTCTGCCATGAATGATAACTTGCCTTGAATGTTAATAAATACAAAAAGTCACCGGAGATGTTTGAGCCAGAGCAGAACCACATTTGGCCTCATATATAATACATACGGCTGTTAAACCAGATGCAAAGGGGCACTCGGAAATCTAAATAATTGTGACATTGCATTATTTATTCACAAGGGAGCCTATATGGCTTGCGGCATGCTGTGGTCCAGGGAAAAACTTCCGACATAACAGCACAGAGGACATCTGCAGTAAATATTGCTATATTACTGCTAGGCTTAATGAAATATTAGCTCCATTTACTTTTAAGCAAATGGAGATATTCTGCAATTTTCTTCTTGGAAAATACACCATGATTCTATCTCAACAAAGAATTGATGTCTCATTTTCAGTAAAAAGTTTCAGAGTATTTAATTAGAGATGACAAAATACTTCTAGATACTATTTGGAACAAAAAATAGATGAAAGCTACATTAAGTACTACTTTATTGCCTACACTTTTTTGAAAATTAGAAAACTATTTACATACTTTCCAAAATTTGCTAGTGCTGTTAGGTGGGGCTCGGTATTTCAGCTTTGCTGCTGCCGTATGCAAGCAGTGTCTGACACTGTCAAGCAATAGCTTCATTTATTGAAGACATGGCTTCACTTCAAACATGACTTCAGCTTCAAAATGATTCCAGTAATGATTTTGAAGCAATTTTGATAACAGCTTTATTAAAAAAAAATTACAGTGGTGCATAAACCTCATTGCATCAAAGGATTTCAATAGTATCAGCACCTCTTGCAAATCTTTTCGTTACAGAGAAACATGTTTTTTAAAATTATGCATTTTTTTGGCCAAATTTATTGACACATATATTAATATCTACTTCTGAGTTACGTCCTTCCAGAGAGACCAAGTTATGGGAGAAACTCTGGAAGCAAAGACCGCACGTGTCCTTAGAAGAGATGCATTAGCAGCAGCCGCGCTTCCCAGCACAACCTGCATCCCCATCAGTCCAGGACGCAGTACCGCTAGCTGGTTATTACATTAGCGTGGCTACAACGTTAAAGGCTGGATATTTATCACACGGTGCCATCTGAAGGTCACTAGCACTGTGTCTGGGCACAATTTGCAATGAATCCCCACAATTTACTGCAAAGCACAATGGAAGGACTCGGCTACTTTGAGCAGGTTCCGTACATCCCAGCCCTGAGCCGCCCGCCCCACGGCTGCCCTCACCTTCTTGATCAGCGACACCATGTCTGTGGACCAAGCGGCAGGGTACATCACCGTGGCCGTCTTGAACACGTGAGCGATTTCATTTGTGGAATTGTTGGAGCGAATGTGATACGGCCTCTGTGAAAAGCGCCACAAGGAAAGCATTTTAATTTATCTGTTTTTTCAGACTCCTTGGGAAATCTTTTTAGAGCAAAGAAGCTTCAAATGAAGTCTCTTGGTACACTCCCCAGGCTTCCCGTTGAAAGTCCCTCCCTGTGTGATTGTAGCTCGGTTGAAATAAACAAAATAATAATGTCAGCAACAACGACGATAATAACGAGCTATTTAAACAGCATGACAGATTGGAGGCAAACCCCAAAAGTTAGAGTCATTAGCCAACTTGTGTTTGCTTGCTTTTTCAGTACTTGTATCTTAAAAGAGATACAAAATCTGAAAGGATTTTACAGATATGGCGCTATGGTTAGAGCATTCCCAATATTCCCCATGAAACGTGTTGCTGGTTTCAGTTCTTCGCTCATGCTGGAGACGACAGAAGTAAAAACGAGCCGGATGTCTCCCACCCATCAAATCAGCTGAAAAAAATGATGTCCGAGGAAGGGCTACAAGCCCCGGGTGGGACATCAGGCTGCAGGATGACCCGTCGTGTCACGGCAAGCGGGCGGCTGAGCCGTCTCCGAGGAGTGCTTGGCTGCACGCCGCCGGCAGGAGTGGAGCCAGGCTGCCCCAGCGCCCGCGCAGCACCCGGGGAACTCCATGTAAGCGATGTGCCACGGACAGCCGGGTTACCGTGCGGGCAAAGTCACCTCCACGTTTAACTCCCAGCTACAGCAACACTACTGCCTCACTTAGAAAGAATTTATGACGGTGGAGTGTTTCCATTACGAAAGATTTTTGATTCCCAGATTTTTATAGCATTTCAGGGAGGTGAGGTGTTAAAAGTACATTTAAAAAAATAGTAGCTATAAATTGTGAGATCACATCAGGTGCATTGCTTAATGTTTACCGACACTAGATGGACCTCAAGGTCACTTCACTTCCCCCGCGTGGTAACCACCGCTGGCGCCACCATCTTGTCACGGCCGTGCCACCTGAACGCCTAACTCATGTCTACTCCCACCTCTGGAAACAGTGCCACCACGTCAGAAGTCAAGGTGATGAACAGTCCCGCAATTCATTTAACATTACAAATGGAAAACTCAAACCTTATATTAACGTTTACAGGCGGCACGTGGCTTCAGCTACCCAATTGGTCAGACAACCATGTCTCCTTAATGTGTACTAACTGGATCACTCACAATTTGAGATATGCAAATTCATTTGAAAATCTGTTCTTTAAAATACATTCATCAAAACATTTTTAAGCATTCTGCAAAGATTGATGATAGAGTTTCTTAAAAACGTGTTTTGCATGCTCGTACTGAAAGAATTTTCCTAGCCTCACAAGATTTTAAACAACCTTTTGCTTAGAAGAACGTAATTTAAATAATTTTGTCCCACTTTTTTTACACAACACTTCCAAAACACTAATCTAATCGTCTGTCTACAAGGCCCCCAACCCTACCTGAGTTAGAAGCAGAACACTGACGTGACAGGCAGGGATTGTGCTTTATTAATAATTTACACCTTGCGGTTTGCTTTTGCTCAAACTGCTCAGTCTTATTACAATAAGATTATTTTTTTTCAAGTTTTCTTTTTTCCCTTGAAGGATGGGAGCTCAAAGTAAATTATATTGCAGCCCAAACTTCAGGAGCTGTCACTCGTTAATCAGCTCGGTTTGTCTTGCCCAGCTTACGCCAACCCAGGGGCCCCTGGGCGCAGTGGGGAACTGTCACAACGTGCTATTCTGTATCGCGACGGTTTCTCTTTGAGCTCTTGGCTGTGCTCACAAGAACCCTGCTTTCTGCTTCCTATGCTGCAATAACCCCTAAAGCCTGGAATTTGGCTCGGCCCTTTCATCCCTGTTATATGGCATTAGCCTTTCCAACAGCGTTTAAGGAAAGAGATGGACGGACAGGGACAGGAGCCGCGCGCACAGTACCCGGGTCCTGAGCAGCTCGTAGGCAGTGATTCCCAGGGACCACCAGTCCACAGCGAAGGAATAGCCGGTGGGTTTTGTGGAGTTAAACATTTCAGGTGCTGCGAAATACAGAAAAAGGAAAGTTTGCCTTGCTGCAGTCTCGAGTGGAAATCAGCAACACAGAAGCCACAAGAGAGCATCCCTGCTGTTCTGCCTAGGACACAAATTAGCATATTACCCATTACTACCCCTTTGATAATTTCAGCTTTTTTTGTTCAAAACAATGGCATACGGCTGGTAGATTTGTCCTTCACCACAACACCGCCGAGGTGGACACGAATCAGAACGCACGGGTTTCCCTGCACCAATTCATCTTTTGGTCTTTGTCAGGTTCCTCAGCTGCTGTCTCAGCCTTGCGATGCACCGAGGAGCCTCAGCGTGGAGAGCAGAGCAAGCGTGCGTGCAAACCGCGCTGCGACGCGCTGAGCCGCCCGCTGCTGCTGCTCCCTGCAGCTGCACGGCAGGACCTGCCGACCTCACGTCCTGCCCGGCACCGAGCGCCATCTCGGCGTGAGCCAGACCTGACCCGGTTCCCAGCACGCCGGCTTAGCCCAGATATTCGCCTGCCCTTGAACAGACACGCCTTGCATCCCTGACCCTGCTGACTAACTGCATCTGCAATTGGCACCGTATGAAACATTTTCTGCTGTGTTAAAACCCAAACAAGCGTTTCAGCTCCTCTGTGTCTTACTCTCTCCCCACCGATGAAATGGGACTGTCACTAATTTCTACTTCAATGGAGTGTTACAAAACTTAGTTGATTAATGTGCGTAAATGATGGGACGGCCTTGAGAAACAGGTGTGCTTCCACCTTTGTAACAGGAATGTTTAATGTTCGAGGAACACAACCCAATTCACTTGGATTACAGAATGCTTCACGTAACTCCTGTAATCACTAAGAGATTCAGCAGACCCAATTAATTTCCCACATTGTACAAAGCGCTAAAACTCCGACTGCCCTGGGTAGAGCCCTTCCCGCATGGCCGCGGTCCCGCTCCTGGGGCACCCGAGAGCCCCCCGGCCCCCTCCACGTGGATCGCAGTACTCCTCTGCCCCCAAAGCCCAAAAAGAATAAACTCCTTTTGCTGCTACAGGACTTGCCCGTTATCCCACAGTAAATGTGCTTTGGAATAAGGACTAACCCTAATTCATGGAATCTAGGCATAAAATTGGGCCGAGTGTCTCCTCACCACCCCCAGAAATCCCCTCTGCCCTCAGCAGATCTCCACGCTGGAAAGCTGTTCCCATCCCACTCATATCCCTTTGTTCATATTTAAAGTACTTGGATCTGGCAGAGCCTAAATACAGCCTCACACCGGGAATGAAGACAGCCCTTCGGAGATGTTAACACGCAGCGTAAACGCAGACATGGTGAAAACCGCACCCTTAGCGTGGAAAAGCAAGTTTTAAGTGAACAAAGCCTGAGAGCCACAGCTTTTTAGGAGGAGGTTACCAGGCTAATGGGAAGTGGGTGGAGGCACAGACTGAAATGCTCTTAGCCAACAGATTTCCCTTCTGAGAGTAAGAAAAAAAAATACTGTAGGATTTATGTGCCAACTAGGAGGCAAGAAAAAAACCAAAGCAGGGAGCAATGCTTGCTTTTTGTGCATGTTGTTGTTGTTTTTTTAAAAAGGATTGCACTGGTGGTGCAAAGGTGAAAGGTCAGTTTGGTCATCTTGATAAAAGGGAGATTCCCAGGGCATTGCCCTAAGGGATCTGGCTGTGCAACAGCTGTAGGGAGGCTGTGTTATTTAGGTCTGAGAGACAGTGCTACTGTATGTGAAAGTATGTATTTTGTGTGGGAGGGGTTGTGTTAGCTGTATAGAAATGCTTTTGGGTGGGTTTGCTTTACTTTAGAAAGTTGAATTTACGGTTAGAAAGGCTTTTCTGTGTCATGTTTGCACAGGAGTTCTTTTAGCATCAACTTGGGATATTTCTCTCTGGTTTGTTACCTGCGTGCTCTGGCCCCAATTCCTCCCAGGTATGTCAATGTTATTTTGCTTTATGTTTACTAACTGTGCTTGTGTGGTAAGTATCAGATGGGTCTCTTGCTGTCTGAAAACTCAGCTGCTTCACTGATTTGGACAGTAAATGAACATAAGTAAGCCTCTTGCACTCCCCTTATAAATGGGGGGGGGGAGCAGCAAATTTTTTTGAGTAGTAGGAAATGAGGTCTGCATAGGGAGCAATCACTGTGTGTCTTCCTTCTCTGTGTGTGTGTTGATTTGCTCATTAAAACTGTTTCTCCAGCTGACCCAAGGCTGCTGTGGAGTGATCCACCTGCTCCAGAGCCACTTTGCTCCAGGAGTACATCCTCCCATCACTCCTACAGCTGCCTGACATATTTCCTTGCCAGGGACTAGTCCCATGCCATTGCCTGGAGATAAAAAAGCTTCCTAAAACCTGCTTTTTTTTTTGTGAACTGAAGAAAAAAGAGGAAGGGGATGGTATGTAACCATTGCAACCAGCCCAGCTGCTCAGCTCTGTGGGCACCTGGAGGCTGGTACCACACTTCCATAGCACCAACACTGTGTGCTCTGTGCACCACCGGCAGGTCAGCGTGCAAATGTGCTGAGCGCTGGGGAACCGACTCAACAGCCCTCCAGAGCCTGGCCATGGCTTTCCCTCTGTACGCCTCCGTTCCCAGGGCTGCGTGTGGCTGGTTTTCACTTGGTGGCAGAAAGTGCCACATCTGCTGCTACCGGTACAACAGGAGGGGTTTTCAGAAAGACTGAAAGATAGGCTCAGCGTTTATCTTGCAATTGTGACAGCCGCTTCGGCACCAGCTCTGCCTCCCTGTCCTACGGGCGATGCACATCTGTCACCGCCGTGCTCTGCAGACCCCAGTTACAATTGCCCTCCTGTCCTGCTGTGTGAAGGCAGGACGCCGTCCTCAGCGGTAGAGATCAGAGCTAAAGCCTCGCTCGCCTCCCAGTGCAGATCTGGCATCGGCACGGCCATGCTCTTGACTGTCAGCCTGACACCAGAATGTGGGCTCTTCCCTACGGTGCTGAGCGGATGCTGCAGCCCAGGAAAACAGCAAGTCTGGAGTCCGCTCACTTGGCCTAAGCACAGAGCAATGCTAGTTTCTAAAGCAGCCAGTTTATATAAAAATTCAAATTATGATTTACTGATGCAGCAGTGTAAGGCTTGTGCTAATGTGCTGAGGGACCAAATACAAGCCTTTGTGCTTCATTTTCCTTCTCAAGGGTAGCAAGAGCTTTTCGTCATTGCTACGTGGCTTCACTGCTGCTTGTGAAATGCTCTGGGATCTCAGGAGTGCAACTATCTTACTTTATAATAAAAAACATGCTGTACAGTATGGCATAATGGCACTAAAATCTGTGTTTGCGGTACACTTGCTTTGGTCTCTTGTGTGAAATCAACAGACGGGACGCACATTTCCAGCTGCATCAGGGTGTTACCGGGGAGGGACTCCCGTCGCGCTCCCCTGCAGCACCTCTGGAGGTTGTTCCTCATTTCAATTTGGTTACATACCAGGAAGAAAAGAGCTCAAACTCTCATCAGAAAGGACTTCATCTGTATCCCACCACAGCCGTCAAATCAAGCCCATAAAACAGTAATTCCAGAACACACAATTGTCATTGGTTCTTACCCATATACGGCTTTGTGCCAGCAATGGTGGTGACTTGTATTTCTTTAGTCAGCATTGTGGCAATATTGAAATCGGTGATGTGCACGTGTCCTGAAAGACAGAGGTTAACGTGTAACTTGATTTGCCTTAATTTCACATGAGAAGCAACTTTGAATCAGAAACTTAAATACTCTATGGAAAGGAGTTTCTAGGAAAAAAAAAAAATATTCTGGTGGGAGAACTGAGAAAATATTTTCAGCTTGCAGGCTGCATAGATCTTGTTACATTAAACATCCCCTTATTTACCCTTTGGGGAACAAAAACATGGAGCTCTCCAAGAAGTCATTTAATAATGATTGTTTTGAGTTTTCCTAAATTTGGGGGGGGAAGAGAAGCGAACTTTTCTCATAGAAAAAAAAAATCCTTTTTGCTTTCTAGCTACTTGCCCTTTGGTGTTCCCAGGTACTAAGCGTTCTCTCCATTTTCCTCTTTAGAGGATGTCTCTAGAATAGAACAAAATACCTTTGGCAGCAAGCAAAAGAGCCTTGCGCAAGAAATTAAAGCATTGTGAAAACCCCCTTGGGGGGCAGGAATGGTTTCTGCTATCACTGCTACAATATGCACAACTGCTGCCTGCAAATGGAAATAAGAGCTGTGATTTGCAGGGATGAGAAAGGAAATGCTCTTGCCTGCTCTTTTACTTGCACTGGTTTTTTTGCAAGCACTTAATTTATTATTCCTTATACACTGAACTCCTATTAGTGAGCAGACCAGTCGTGTACAGCAGTACAGGTGATCCATACAAGGCTGGCTTCGCTGAAATGGATTTCTTTGAAACTCGCGGGTTAGTTCAGCCTAACTCTTCATATAAAACGCAGGCAGTCTTTTCTTCCTGACCTCACGCATCTTCTCCTCAGGCACTGAACTTGCTCATCCCTGACAGAGCTGGGCTCATTATCAAAAGTTTTGTATGTTGTGTTTTGCAGACTCATCACCCTCCTCTGCAATAACAGAGGGTGGCTGAATTGCTGTTGTTTTCTCTAAGCGCAGAGATCAAATCAAAGTGGCTTTCTACCGATGGAGATGCTATGACAATACTTCCCTCAGTAACTAGCTTCAACAGCTAGAAATTCACTGCTGCTTTAGTTCAGGAGTTAAAGTAGAATAAAATCACCTTTTTATGTCTAAAAGTTGATACTTTGATAATGAACTCCTGTTGTCTCATCTGGATGCTATGAAACATTTAAGTAAATCTTTACAATTGTGCCTATAGTCTATATATCTGTTATGAGAACAGTGATACAAGTTTGCCTGCTGCAAATAGCTGATCTAGCTGGGAAAAGCTGGGGAATAAAAGTAGAATTTGTGATTTATCCGAAAAACAGTGTATCTCATCCATGTTCCTGCCTGTGTCTCTTCAATGACGCGTGCAGTGTGTGAAGCACAGGAGCCTCTTGCCCGCACCCCGTATTAGCTGTGGCCAACATGCAACATGCACCCTGGAGCACAGGCATCCAAACTGTGTGTCCTGCAGCTGGGGAGGATGGCTGGGCATACGCGTGCGGCTGCTCTAGGGACCGGCTAGGAGCGGATCAGACATCCGTCAGAACCGGGGGAAGCAGGTCTGCCACGCTTGATGCAAACCCGGGCACGTTCAGCGCTTGGGCCGTGAGTTCTCAGGGACAAGGACCACTGGCTCCTGCCTGGCACCGAGCCCTGGTCCGTATGCCTCCCGACACCGCGGCCAGGCACACGGACCGGGCAGGCATGACGCTTATCCAGGAGGCCCTGGGATCACGCCGCAACCACTTAACTTCCACCTACATCTCGGCGTCTGGTGAGGACGAATAAATCCTTCGGCCCCTCCGCAGGAAGTTATCATCCAGCTTTTCAGCGATTTCACGTTCCACCATCAGAGCACCTCAGCCAGGGCAGGCAGAGCTCAGCGGGACAGTGTCTGGCTAACAGCCCCGGGCAGTGGGACCAGCCTGCACCCCCCGGCTCCCCACCGGGACGCAGGTTTCTCTGTCAAATCTGCGGTGCTTGTCAGGCTGGAGTTTGCAGGAAGAAAGGAAAACTTGAGGTTGCTCTGGTGAGCCGTGGGCGCTGCTGGGGGTACGTGAGCGAGGTGTCAGAGCTTGCCCCCTGCACGGTACCCAACTGGTCTGTCAAAAGCATGTGTCTCTCCTTACTGCTTACGCTGCTGTACGAAATCAGCTGGGCCCTCTCTCCTTCAGTCTGCCCAGTGAAGAACGGGCATCGAATCACTGGGGAGTACTTGAGAGAAAAGAAGGGTGTACAACTGTCTTGTCTGGATACGTCCTCTACGTCCTTGCATTGCTTTTTCTTTCATCTCTAGCTCTCATTCCACTTTGTGGGCAGCTGTTTTTGTAAATATGAATCATAAAGACTTATTAAGAATTTGATATTCCAAGCACAAACGTGCCTTTCTCTGGATGCATCTTTTAAATTATTCACTTCAAATAAAGCACACGTTCTATAAACTAGCCCACTTGGGAAATTACCAGATCGAGCCAGTGAGGCTGAGGAAGAAGGCTCCGGACGGTACGACGAGGCTGAACAGCGGCGCCGGTGTTACAGAACGGGGTGGACGGGGCGACCAGGCATGGCAGCTACTGGTAACTGAGAGGAAGGCGCTGGGTGTTGCTGCTGGGCTTTGGGGTCAGGCTTTAGGGCTTGTGTGTTCTGGATTGCTCAGCATCTCTGACTGCAGCCATTTTCGAAACAGCACAGGCAGAGCTGTGCGCTGAGCACCACGTCCTTCCCAAAAACCTGCCTCTCTGCCTCAAATTGGCACTTGCAGATCAAGCCTCTGGTTCTGCATTAAGGCAAAGAATTTTCTTATTATATTCAGCACCTCTGTTACTGCACAATTCCGTCACCTTTCTAGAGCATCTTTTGTGCAAAAAAAAAAAAAAAAAAAGGCTTCTGCAGATTCAAGATAGCATTTTAAAGAATATGAAACTAGAGACATTAGGAGCTGTGGAGTATGGAGGCTCTCAGACAGACTGTGTCATAATGTTCTTATCCGAGATTAGAGAGCAAATGGGCTACGTGTGCAGTGCCTGAATCGGCATGAACGCACCCACTTTAGCACCGCCCTCGAGAACCTTTCAGCAGTGGTACAAGAAAAAATACTGAGCAAAGCCGTTACAGGGCTTTTGCAAAAAAACCTCTCAGTTTTACTGGAGATACAAACTGAGCTTTTCTTCAATTTTATTAGACAAATGACCTGGTGAAAAATTCCTGATGAATTAGTCACAATTCCTGGAAACTGCCATCTGTTATATTCTTTTATTCCCAGGTGAGCTGTGCTGTCATCGAGCCAAAATGATAGACTTATCATTAAAGGAGGAAATACTTTGTGCTTGGAATGACTGCTGAAGGTGGTCAGCTGCTGAGGATTTTTTCATTGTGGGACCTGACCCAAATCTCTGATGTCAAACAACTGCTTTATTTATTGCACAGAAAGATATTTGCCAGATATTCCACTTTATTTATGGCTCGCTTTCAGCTAAGAAATTAAATTGATATGGTAATACAGAATGTCACCAACCAGGGTGACAGAGGCAAACGCATGAGGTGTGCGTGAAGTTCATGGCACCACATTTCAACATGTGGCATCACGAGAGGCATCTGTACCATCGAAAACCTGAACCAGCCTCCCGCACAAAAATCAGATGATGTGCATGACAGCTCCTGCAGCCTCGTCAGCGATTAACACGAGCAAAAAGGGTGCTGGGGTTTGTAACCGACACGGGCGCCTTTCGGCATGTAAACCAACGGGTGGAGGAGTCACAGCTGGAAAGGAAGATGGGCCACAGGGCAGAGTCAGGGGCAAGAAGAGTCTAAAAGGAAGGACTGGAGTCTGATTGCTGAAGGTCTTCAGGTGCTTCTTACTCTCAGGGGACTGGTCTCAATCAAGAAGATTATAAAAAATTGATGTTAGCAAATAGGATATATTTTGTGATCACAGCTGTGAAAGTCTGGTGAAGGGAGGGGAGAGGGAATGGGGAGCTGAGGCTCCATTCCATGGGGAAAGAGATACTGACAAACAAGCACAACCTCCTCGGCTAAATAGAGATAAACATGCTACAGTAACAGTTCTCTGGGGACAGGAAAAAATTGAACTGTGTGCGCACCAAGCTTTCTGTATGCATGAGAGGACACAGCTTTGCTGCCATGGATGAAGAAAAGAAATACTACAAGTAGTAGTTGGAAGGACACTGAAGTGAAGGGTATACCCACAGAAAATAACTCTTCAACCTCTGCAACAGACAGTTAAAACATCACAGCGAGCAGAGAATAGGCTCAAAAATCAACCCAAATTGCAGTATCATTATAGAAGTTTGCAGGTTACATCCTGCTGAGCAACTGCAGAGACAAGCTGAGCTTTTTCCCCTCCGTTTTTTCCCTCTGTGGGGGAATGCTGACCTACATTTCCGTGGCTCTAGAGCTCCCAGCTCCCTCCTGGGGGGCTCTGTCACCCCAGTCCTATGGGGCGCAGGGGTAGGGCGGTTCCTGGAAGGTGGTCTCAGGTCACTGTGTCCGCTGGTGAGGACTGACCAAACCCATCCCACACCGCACAGCGCCGGCTGGGAGCCCGGCCCTGGATGGCTGAGCTGGGTCACGTCGCATCGGCAGACGCCGGCGGGAGGGAGGACGGGTCCCTGCATCCGTCGGTGCACAGAGCGACAGCAGGACAAGCACCAAGTGAGGCAGGAGAGACGCTACTGCACTTGGAGGCAGAAGCAGCTTTGCTGACAGCTCCTAAATAAGTAATTAGCTAGCACTTTGAAATTAGAGGTCATACACAAAACGGGAAGAGTCTGGGCTCGGGTGCTGCCAGGCAACCCGAGTCACACACACGAGCCACGGCGATTCCTTGGGAGCTTCAGCATCTCTATTACAGCCTCTGAAGAGACGATGAATTCAGATATGCCTTGTCCCTGCACTGACTCCTTCTCTTCGAGCACCTTGCTGCAGTTGCTAATGAAGATTTCTCACAACAAGCCAGTTACATGAGTTTTCAAAAAAAATATAAAATGACAAAGTGTTTTTCTAATGAGTTAAAAGCTAATAAATATCAGACAACTCTTCACTGTGAAAGCTTTTGCCAAGACAAAAATGTGTCTAGAGAGCAATGCAAGAATATAGCTAGAGTTTTGCCTGAGAAAAACACTAAAGAAAATATGATAGCAACATCTATAATATACCCGGCCCCAACTCCTCTTCAGAGCTGCCTCCCAACGTCTAATGCTCAAGCAAAAAGAAAATACCTGAATGAAGATTGTCTGCTCAACCATAATAGCATACATTACACACAGCCTCCAATTACCTGAGCATTTCCATGCAAATGATTACGTTTTGAGCCGAAAAGGTCTTAAAGTAAGGTCTGTTAGGGCCACTGCCGAGTCAGTCAGCTGGGGGGGTGCTGACCAAACACTAAGGCACCCCCTGAAATACCGCAGCATCACAGGGTGCCCAGCGCCCTGAAGGTATAAGACGCTGCTGCTCAAAAAGCAAAGGACAGCAACCAAAGCAGGAAGGGATGGTCCCATTCCTAACTGAACTGAGGGACATAAAGCAACACAAAATGAGGAGAAAAAACACAAAATGAGGACAAAAACACAAAGAGAGCAAGCACCTACACTTCGACTTGGATGTCCTGTTTCTGACTCTGCTTTTATGCGTACGCACCACCACAAAGCAACTGGCACTTACCACGCTCATCCAGTAAAATGTTGTCAGGCTTGATGTCTCTATGAAAAGAGGCAGAGAAGGGGAGACAGCCATTAGCCTAGAAAAGTGACGGGAAACACGGCTGCAGACGCTCTGGGGAAGCCCAGGCTCTGGAGGGACAGGCGTCCAGAGACGTCATGCCCGAGAAGGTGTCTGCTGGGGCTCTTCAGCTCTGATGTTCCTGCAGGGTTTGATTTAGGTGTAAGAGAATGACTAATCAAACGACAAAAGCAGAAGTGGTGGTACGGGGCTATGGCTGTGAAGGCTGCTGCAGTTTGAACTAGCAGCACTGAGGTAGTTAATCTGCAACATTACAGCTTCTTTTTATTATTTTCCTCCTTTTACTTCTTAATCTGTTTCAGTACTATATTGAGAGCTGTTCCCCATTTACTCAGTAAAAAGAAAATTATTTTAACATCTTTGTTCTAGAAACAAATGGGTTTCCCACAGGTTTTGTTCCTGGAAAAAAACCCACAACAAAATAATACCCACAGCAATGCTGTAGGAAACGCTTGCTGGTGAAGGGAGAAGACGTACACCTGATACGCCTGCTGTATCCACCCGAGTGACTTTACAAGACATTACCTGGTTTTAATGAGCTCATTACACCGGCCCGAGCCGGGCACCTGGCCACTTAGTGCCCCAGGAGACTGGCCCACGGGAATAACCCTGCACCGTCCCGATGCTTCCCACCCGGCCCGGGGGCTCAAAGTGGAGAAACGAGCAGGTTTAGGGTTTTATCTTTAAAAATGCAATCACTAAGATAAAGTTTGAATTCACCTAGCCACCTGGAATCACAAAAAGACAATATATCTAATTATCATGTAATAGCTTACAGTTCTCTGGCATCTTTTCACCCAAACTACGTCCAGTGGGTTATAAGCAGCAGTGACCTGCCTTGTGCCATCCCCCATCACGCAGGTGACAGCAGGGACAGGCGTCTTATCGAGACAGAACGGGGCAGCTTCAGGTAAGCGGGTGGGTTTTTTCCCTGTAAGCTCAGCAAAAAACTGTGCCACAGGTTAGAGCCAAACAGTCCAGGTGGTCAGAAGCACCAAGGTATTTAATAGTGAAAAATGGTGATGCCACACTTGGTATTTTTGAGAAAACACTAATTTAAGTAAAAACTGAAGGAAATGTTTCAGCAAAAAGAGCTTGGAAAAAAAAATGGATTCTTTGAATCCCTTGATACAAAAATATTTACAAAGTTTTGAAAGGAACCATAAAGACAGGGGTTCTTTTCTCATCCAGTTTTCATCCTTTTTTTTTTCCAAATATTATTTTTTATATTTCCACTGGGGTCTTTTCTGATCTCACTCAGTCTGGTATGCAGCCTGTGGAATTACACCAGCACAGTCAGATCATTCCCAGGATGCAAACAACGAACAGGGTTAATTTTGTTTGTTGATTAATTGTATATTTATTTTTTTAGGAACTGGTTATACCATTTCCTAGCCTGAAAAAAGTAACAAATATTTCCCACTCTTCTACAGTGGGTGGGAAATCATCCCAGCCCTCAGTCTGTGTTTGCCATCTCTGCCCAGCTCAATTCAGGGAAAATAAGCAATCGCTTGCCTGTCTCCTGACGTTCCCAATCTCAGTTGTTGCAGTGCAATTGACTCAGCTGAGTCACTTTATCAATCTAATACTGTCCCACTGGGTTAGTGCTAATTAAACAACTTGCATTACAGTGTTAATTAAGCAACTTGCAAATTTTACAGGCTGCCATACACCTTTTGTTGTACTCGATTCACCTTAAATACACATAGCTGCTTGAAACACACATCGCAGCCGAAACTTTAGCTTCTCCCGCCTATATTTACAAATAACCCTCTGGGAAATCCCTGGAGTTTTGCCCTTTGGCTGTCCTTCCGTGCCTGCCCTTACGCCGCAGCCATAGCAGGATGCCAGCGCACCCCTCGGCGATGCCGACGGCTATGCAGCCGCAGGGACACGGCTCGGAACAGGGACCGCAGCCCCCGGGCACCCCGCGCACCCGTGGCTATCACGTCTTTCATCGATATGAGGAACAGTCTCCTTCTCGTGCTGACTTGTTCTTACAGCACCGAATCATGAAAAACCTCTAGCCCCTTAGTCCTATAACATGGCTACTAATTGTAATACTTTACTAATAGAGAAGGATTTCTTCCCTTACACCTGTGCCCCACTCCGTTTGTTCAGGCCAAGCCAACAGCGTGAGGATTTACCCCTCTGCCCAGGACAGAGGCAGCCGAGTCTGCATTTCATGATGTTTAATTCATGCTCATCCATTATTTGGTGCGGGTGAGCAGGTGCCGGGCGGAGGCGGCCAGTGCAATGCCCCCGTCACCGCACGCCGGCTTCGTGTCCCGCACCACAGCAGCGCCCGCTGGATCGGAATGGGGCAGCTGGGATGGCCTGCCTGCCAAGATCAGGTGCATCAGGGTAGAAATCTATGCAGGTATAAAACAAAACAAGTAGCATGAAAGATGAGACCCCTGAGAACGTGGGAACTGTCCCCAAGGAGGTCTGGCTCCGACCGAAGCAGAGCAAAACCTCTCTGGGGCTCTCCACAACTGCGGAGGACGTGCTACGGGCACGCCAAGCGTCCGCCTTTCTGCTTTCACATCTCAGAACCGGCAGCCAAACCCCACAGACGTGAACAAGCATTAATCTTCACCAGCCCTTGAACAGCATGTTCCTTCCCTTACTAACAACCAGGATCATTTTGATTTTACATTTCGTACCATGCTTTATTTTTATACCCCACAGGAATGCTCCTTTGGAGTGGTATCTGTAAGTGAGATAATCTTCTCCCTGCCTGTATCAACCCTCTGCTAGTCCCTCCCTGTTCATACCCCCTGTTAGCAGCTACGAAGTGAAACCCTTGGACCCCCAAGGTTTGCGTTGCCCAGCACGCCAGCAGAAAACAACGGCACATCTGTCCGTCCAGAGCCAGCTCCAGCCAGGGAAAAGCTCTACCTCCTCTGTTATTTTGCAGGTCTTCAAATGACCTTCAAATGAGAAGAGCTCAAATATTTTTTCTCTGGCCATGAAAAATCTTGGTGGCCAAAAAGAAACTCTCACCGCTTCTAGGAAGCGATTTAACCTCACACAGAAAAAAGTGCGTTTGGTCCCACTCCTTGTCTTTCCATGCGGTACAGAGAGGGGCACAAATGGGAGACACCTTCGGGTGTGACAGCAGGGGAACTCTGATTGTCGACGTCTACCCTCCCTGGACCGGGATGGATATTAACGACCTACAGCTAATTAAACCTATTAGAGACAGCTTTTTGCAGGGTCAGCAAATAAATCAAATATGTTGTATCATAGCTATCCTGGAGGGAGAAATAACATGCTCCCTGTTGTATGTGAAATGCTTTTCTCTGAGAAGCCTAGTGTTTTACCTAAGACCAAACGTATGTGGGAGAATATTTTGTTTAGCTCTTAAGCTTCTATTTGTCCTTTCACGTCAAAGAGGAACACGTCTGCCCCAACTGCGGTCTACGAGCATCAGTCCACCTCCGCGGTCCCCAGCTGACCTGTGGATGATGTGCCTGCTCTGCAGATAGTCGAGGGCCAGCACCAGCTCACAGATGAAGAGTTTCACGGTGCCTTCTTGGAACCGCACATTTTGTTGGAGATGGTAACGCAGGTCCCCTCCAAGCAGCAGGTCTACAACCATAAACATATCTTCTTCATCCTGGAACGAGTACCTAAAATGGCATAAGCACGGTTCAGGGATGACAACATTAAAAAAAAGACAGGTTAAAAAGGGACATATGGTACCTCTGGGAATACTCATACTTTCTTGGAACTTTTTCACTTGGTAAATAATAATTTCATGACCTTTCTGTGCTCCATTTCTCGCTACTACTGAACTCCTACCACCTATATTCTCAAAACAATTGAGATGACAATAATTTAGCTTCAGATCTATAACCACGTCAGTGCAGCTTGTACGAGCAGCTACCAGCAGGCCCACTAGAAGAACAGGAACTCAATGTTTTTACGTCAAATTTGTTACTATCAGCCACTTCTAAACCAAAGCCACATCCAAACCCATTACTGCTAGCTTCCTCCCCCTAACAGTTGCGAAGGGAGATGGAAGGAGTCTGGCAGGCGGGCAGAGCTCTCAGGAGGGTTTATCACGGGGTGCGAGTGGCAGTGACCGACCGCACAGACCAGAAAGGGCCCAGGAGGTGTGGACCAGGCACTGTTATTTCGGGGAGGACCTCATACCGACACTTGTTCGCTGCTTGCTTCCTGAATTGCCGGGCAGCGTTCAGTGTGCAGCAGGTTCGTTTGCTCAGCAGTTAGCCGCTACAAGTTAATGAAACGCTTCCACTTAGGACATGTGAGGAGGAAGATGGTACCGCTGCCACCCACTGCACACCGTCCGGAGAGGCTGGCCACAGGCAGTGACTGAAACAGCTGCCGCTTCGGCCATGGAGGGATGCAGCTCCGGGAATCACCCGTGTCACTCCTGTGCTGGTGCTCTGACAACCGTCCGTCAAGCCTCCGCTGCCCCAGCCAGCGCAAGATCCCTCCAAGGGATCTCAGAAGATCCCTTCACTTGCTGCGGAGTCCCAGCTGGCCGAGCAATCAGTAACTCAATACAGCAGTGGAAATCCAGCTTGGAGCTCTGGATAAACGCTGTCTGTTCTCCTTGGGGTTCACACTCAACTCTTTCAAGAGGGACATTTCGTCTTCACCAAGCACCCAAGGGAACTGACCACAGGAGCAGTGTAGAGAGGAGCCCTAAACCGGCAGGCACAGCCCTGCCCAGACTCACAGCCAGTACATTATGCACTGGGGGCACTCAGGACCGGGCTCTGGTTCTCCTGGCAGCAGCCTGTTAATAAACTCATTTGCTCAACACAACAGGGGATGCAGCTGCTATCTGCCGTTCCTCTTTAAGTGACCTCATTTGATGCAATTATTTACCAAGTGTCCCTTTGAGACAGTCTAACAATCAACTACGAGCTTTTTTGCTCATGGATTTTTTTCTTACCAATACACCGGCTTCTGGATGTGATGAGCAGCACCATGAACCAGAATATTACTCCACATGAAGCTTGTGCTTGTCTGGAGGGTCAAGGGGACTAACTTCTTGCTTAATTAAACAAGATTCCCCTGAAACCAGAGCCCCGGTCCATGGAACGGACAAGGAGCCCCACCTCCAACGAAGAGCCTTGGACCGGTCCTCGCACACGCGTTCCCCAGAGCACCCGCAGGCAATCCCCACCACTCGCCCTGCAGACCATGCCTCGCACAGCCCTCCCAGCGCCGGCGAGACACACATGCCCGGCTCGGCGGGCGGCATGATGCCCGTCATGCTGTGGATGGCAACGCACCAGCCGCTCCTGACACTGGCTTGCAGCAGGAAAGCGGACCGGTCTGGTCTCAAAGATGTCTCTAACTGACAATGCTGACTTAGCCGGTAAGCAAAGGAGCAATATCTTACCATAAATTAACTAAGAAGGGGTGCTCCAGGCCCTGCATAATCTGCAGCTCCTTGAAAACATTTCTCACTTCATTACGCTCCACGCACTTTTGTTTATTCATGTATTTCATGGCATACATCTTCTTGGTGTCGTTCTTTTGCACAACACAGACCTAAGTGAGCAAAGCAAGGGATAAATCAGAGATGATTTGTCAGCAAATTTAGGCAGGTAAAACAGAGTCACACGAGCATTCTCCAGTGGCTTTAGCACAGTCCACATTGCCAAGTCACAGCTCCACGCACTGACGCCGCAATGCTGGACGTCGCCAGTAAATCCCTCACCCAGTTTCCAGCCAAAGAAATAAATTTTGCAGGGGGGAGGTGAGGGGAAGGAATTTATCACCACAAAGATAGGAGATAGGGAATCTCGCACGAGTCAACGTTTTATTTAATAGCATTAATTTTGGTTGTGTCCGTCCCTCCCGCACCAGTTACTGTTTGGAAGAATTGTTTCCACCACAGAATTAGGGGTTAGACACAGGGGAGCAGCACTTGGTCTCCCTCTTCTTGAAAAGTTTCATTCAGCTCAGCATGAAGCTTGGACTTTGTTTGAGGGGCATTGGGGTTTGAATTTTAACCCTTCGTACAGTTATATTTCATCAAATCTAGAAAGGAAAATTGCTTCAGTCAGAGTTTGTAAAACTGCAAAACAAAACGGACTGTTTTTTCAGGTTTGTTTCCACAACAGTTTGTGAGTTTGGGATGAATTTGCAAAGTTTCAGTCAACCTTTTTTGTTTTGCCACCAAATAAATCTCTTTGTCTAGAGATCTTTGTCACACTCTGCACCTAAGACACCCCCGTTTCTGGCATGAGAGTGCCTTTATGTGAAGAGGCAAATGACCTTCTGGAATTCTGTCATGGAATTCCATAACAGCATAAAACGAACCTATGACTGTGACCTGATGCTTAATAACAAACACTGTGTTTCACAGAGAAATATCCCCTTAAAAAAAAAAAATTGCCAGGCCTTTCATGTTGACTGTAGTTCATTATTAAGATGCATCATGATGTTCAGCATCGCTTCGCCGGGGAATCTTAGAAAATGCTTATCCAGAAACATAATGAAATTCAGCTCATTTGATTTATCAGTATCTCATTTTAACCTCCTGTAATATAATTTGTGGCTACGGAACGGATGAGGAATCAGGCTGTGATTCCTTCTCAACTGCCAGGAGTTCAAGCTCAGGTCAAAGCTCAGTGACAATGCAGGGGTTTATTTCTTTACTCTCATGTAAGCCTCCAATTCACCCATTTCTCAGTTACATTTCCAGCTGCCCAAATGGTGATTAATTCACAAAATACTTACTTTTCCAAAGCTGCCCTTCCCAATAGCTCGCAAAATTTCAAAATGGTCGAAGGTGACTGAAAGAAAGAGCAAACATTCAAACATTAAATGGCTGAGCAACCATTTGATGGTAGCACGTTATTTCTACTTCTTTTTGTTTTCCTTAAGATACGAGCTGAGAAAAACGAGGGATACCCTAGCAACTTTCTGTTGCATTTGGAAATTTGGGTGCTGTTTAAAACTTGGTGTTTAACAGACTCTTTTTCTTTCCAGCTCAGCTGCAAAGGCAAGTTCCCTGGGTCAGCCTTTGTCAATGGCAGATCAGGCAAGGAACCACCAAGCGAATGTTTTCACTCTGCCCTGCCTGTTGAACAGGAAAGTCTCATCTTATTCCTGCTGAAATCTAATGCAAAGAAGTTTAGTCCAAATGTTTATACCACGTGAAGATGTAAACGAGCAGCTGGATCTTCGTATCGTTGTGGTATTCTAGACAACTGTTCGATAACTGTGCAAGGTGACCACAGCAACCCTGAGCACAAGCTTCGTTGCCCCTCAGCATCCAGAATGGCTATTTCTGCTCAGAGGGAGACAGAAGAGCAACAGCTTTGCAGACCGTGCATTGAAGTGGGGAGGAACGTGAACGTGCATTTCAATTCCCCTTCTGGCCTCTGGCTGGGACATCTGCACAGCGAGGGAGAACATTTTGTAAAGGCTAATCTGAAGGACCCTACGTAGCAAGTGTTTCTGACCAGCCAGGACGAAGCTGCCTCTGTTTCACCTCAGGCAATAAATAGATCAGAGAAGCAGCAAATCAAATTACCATACAGCAAACACAGATTAACTGTACCGGGTTTAAACCCTGCTGCCGATTGCTGGATGAGGTACCATAGCAATGATTATCGAGTTGAATGTTCTCACGCTTCCCCAAGACAGTGGTGCAGCAGCGCCGAGCCCAGCAGCCGTCAGCTAAGGAGAGGTGACGTGCGGGGATCTGCTCCTTAACCGGCCCCTGCGGCTGAACCAAACCGCATGGAAAGGCTCGTTCAAGGCATCAGAAAAAGGCCTCTGAGAGACTTATAATAACTCATCAGCTTTAATTAGTGTGACCCCTGGAACGGAGAGATACCACCAATGCGATGGGCTTGAAATCACAGAGTTCATTTGCCTTGTGCCCCTCGTTTCCCTGCCAGCAGAAGTGGCCGGACACCGCGGCTGGAGCCAGGGCTGCGGGCAGACAGCGTGGGGAGTGACGTCCCCCGCGAGGGCCATGGAACCGGCCAACACTGCGTCCACCTCTGCCTTGCACACCCTGCGGCACCCTCCATTCCCTGTAGCCTGCTCAGATCTTCCCAGACAGCTCTCACTGCAACGGAGCTCAGACGTACTCGGGCTCCGGCTGTGCCAGGCGCTAAAGCCAGTGCTGGACCCACACACCAAGTGTCCGGTCATTGGGGGAGCAACAGGTGCTGTCAGCTCCAGGTCTTGTTTTCACAGAAACACTGCGGTGTGAGCAACTTGGGTTCAAGCTGCAAAGCTTTCCCACTCTGTGCTTTCTGAAACCACAGGTTGTCTGGAAAAGTGCAGGTCTCAACGTAATTGTCATCTGCTGCTTTCTTCATTAACAGAACTGGGTGGCACAGAAACCAAGAAGCATTTGTCCCCAAAGCTTTTTATCAGGTGAGATTTCCAGCAAGGAAGCTGTTGTTAATCACTCTGCCACAGCAACAGACGAATCCTCCTCGTTACAGACTTGCGCGTGATGCCGATCAGAAATAAACCCATTTTCCTCGGTGCACATCCTGCCTGTAAGCTAAGACAAGGACAGCACAACAGACACTTACTAGATCCTTGCCACCACACACCTATAGGGAAGTGTACTCACACTTTGCTAGTGGATTTTTTTCTTTTTAACAAATTGCATGTATTTTCCAAATAAATCAACCAGGCAGACAGGGTTTCATTCAACATAAACATGATGCATGAAGGTCAAACTGCCTCAGCCATACGGCCCGCTGAGCCTGCCCAAACTTCCTCCAAAAAACAGGCTGAAAACAGCCACTGCGTTCCTGGCCAGGAGTGTAATACCCACGGACTAACCCATTCTCAGAATAATTTTTTAAAACAGGCACACTAAATTAAAAAATTGTCCTTTTCATTGCCATTACCTTTTCAAGCAGGATGCCACAATCTAACCAAAGCAAAGTTTATGGTTTCCAGCTATAGCACTTGGAAAAAAGACTGGGTTTTAGGCACAGAAGTCCTTTTTCAAACCTGGAATAACAGCTGCAAATATCAGAGCTAAATACAAGTTGATAGCAATTGAGTTGAACTAGATCTGTTTACCAGTGAGACCATCTGAGAGAAGGGTAGTGGATACCTGCAGAGTGAAAAGGGAGAGCGAAGATGCTTATCACCCGCAGGGAAAAATGAGAGGGGAAAGAAGTGCTCTGTGCCCACTACGGAGAGGGGAGCTGCAGGAGTGACACGCTGTACAACACGGCCCACGACGGCGGGGAGTGGGGAGTCTCAGCTCCCAGGCGTTGAGACCCCGCACGGGGCTCTGCGAGGGGGGGGCAGACCACGAAACGCAGGGCTCCAGCCAGACATTAACATCTGGAACAGCTGCAAATCCCAAGGAGTTAAAACTGGCAGGCAGATTTTGCATGTTAACACCCTCTATTGCCTTTTAATAGGAATGCTTTCATGAACATGTTAACACCCTCTACCTCCTCGTCTTTTTATATTGATGCTTTCATTAGCATTTTAAACACAGGTCTGTAACTGAGCTGGCTGTAAGAAAGCTAAATTGTGTACTTTTTACTTAAGACTCTCAAACTAGGTACAATCACATTTTAACCTCTCGCTGTTTTAGCTTTCCTATCATCCCAGATTTTCACAGTAAGCCAGTCCAGAGCCTCACTTCCAAAGAGTACTGAAATTTGTGGTGTCCAAATCAGGAACCAAGCACATGCTCTTCATCCTGAATCCACCTCTACAGATTTGACAAGCCTCATTTCACTGCCTGATGGCACCTAAAACAATGAAAAAGCCAAAGCATTTGCCCTTCAGGGAGAAAATTCATGTGATATGCCAACTCAGACAAATTACGTTTAAGAGATGCCAAGGAAGATAATACAATTGCTATAAAGACGCAACTGAAGCATAAGCATGAAATACCATTTTGAAAGCAGGGGTTGTTTCTAAACCCAGGTTCAAGGAACAACAAAAAAACCACAGAACCTAACCAGCCACAAAACCCATCCTTATCACAGACAAGGCAACCCCACCAAAGCCCCCGGGCTCCATCTGTGACGGGGAAGTCAACGATTCGGGGGGCTCAGGTCCTCCCAGCCCTGTCGCCCACCCCAGCACAGCTAGCACACCACCACACGGTCTGATATGACTCGTCTTCCCTTCGTCACTGTAATTTCCCCTGTTTTCATTATATTCCCTCCCTCCCTTCTCTGCTCTGCAGCCTCAGGAAAACAAGTGCTAGCACTAGATCAGGAATGATAACGCAAGTTCCCCTGTATCGGGGAGCTGAACCCAGCGCAGATCCAGGCAGAGGCACAAAGACACGTCTAACGCTCTGCTCAGTCCCGGGGCAACGTAAAGACAGAACAGCTGACGGTGGGCGAGAGGGGACACTGGCAAAGGGCCACAGAATGACGTACATCCATTTCACCCAGCCGTTGTCCTCGCTGGACGTCTATTTCTGCTTCATCTTCCACCAAATTTGGCCAGCCGGGGAGAGTATCTGGCTGCCATCCTCCGGGACGCTTTCCACACCCTTTTGCCCAGAAGCAGCACAAACAAAATCTGGCTTTTAGCACGGTCTCATCCTGAGTACTCAGGGAGTTGAGATCACCTTGCAGCACTGAACCTTCTGTCTGATTATTACATTTTCTTTTCATCTCACTAGCTTAGTATCCACAACCGCGCCTACTCAGAGGAAATGCTGAGAGAAAAATAACACTGCCATCCCACTTCAGCCGAAGGCAAACAAAGCCCCTTTGAGAACTCCATCTTAAAAAAAGAAAGAAATCTTTGTGCCACAGAAAACAGTCAAATTATAGCAACAGCACTTTGGAAAAATATGCAAGAGGCGTTATGACTATGCGTGCATGTCAAAGGACGACAGGGGCCCGAGCGAGACGGGAGCCCTGCCGCCCTGCTCCGAGTCGCTTGTCTCTGCGCGGCAGAAGATGTCCCACACTCCACGGAGTGAACGGCCGACCCGTGGGAGAAGGGAAGGAGCCCACTGCTGAAGGACGGAGGCACAGGGAGGTGAAGTAATTTGCCAATGGCTATTCAGAAAACTACGGCACAATATAAATCCAGATCTTTTCAGCCTCGAGTCAGCTCCCTAACAACCCTGTTTTGCAAAAGGCTTCACCTTATTGCAACTGTCTGAGTATTCTTCAAGATGTCTTTTTTAAGCAAATTGAGAGGTAATGAGAGAAAAGAAATCACTGAACATTACAGCACGGTTCTCTGAGAAGCAGACCCAATTCTTGGGTGCAATGGCAAAAAGCTCGTTAGACCGGGATGTTTCCTCCCCCGGCAGTGGGTCCCAGCAACGCTCCCAGCGAGTGGCATCTGGCAGACAACTGCCCGACCGGCAGCTGCACCACTCAGCTGCCAGAGGTGCAATTTGGGCTGTGAGGAAATGGGTGCCTTAACCGGCCACGCTGCTGCTGCTGGTATTTACACAGACCCCAAAGGAAAAGCCGCTCTGTGGCACAGCCAAGGGTGGGAGCGCTCTCCTCGGCCGCAGCCCAGTGAAGCGACCTGCCGGTGTCACGGAGCAGAAGAGCCATTGTGCTGCTTCCTGCTGTACCCATTTCAATTTTAATTGAAATTAGAATAAGGACAAGATTGTGACATCGGAGGTGAAACAGTCTCTGGTCACAAATTTGCCAAGATAATGGAAAAGTTAATAGGGGACATCCCCATTTCAGCTGAATTTCTCTCTTCCCAGTATATTAAAATATGACTAGTTAGAGAAAAAAATGTGCTACCAGTTTTTAAGTTTGGGCAGGGCCATGAAAGCACAATTGCACCGGTCTGGACACTGTGTCTGGGTGCAGGGGTGACCCCTGAGCCCACTGAGGCTCAACAGACCAACACTGAACCGCTCAAGATGGTCAGGACCAGCCCTTCCCCTTGACTTGCAGCACGACTCACAAATGCACCGAGCATGGGGCATAGCACTTCACACTGGGAAAGCCCAGTGCCCTTTGCCGCAGAGCTAACAGGGGCTTCACACGCTGCCAGGTTTTGTTTGCTGAAACCAAGCCCTTTCCTAGCACAGGACTGGCTCTCATAAGAAATCACCTGTCCAAGAAGATTTACCGCCCCAAGGACAGTCAGCCTGCACAGGTCACTGCATTGCTCGGGGTATTATTTATTTCTCAGTCACAGGAGCTGGTACCGCACGAAGCATGTCGAACCCAGAGAAAGACTCAGCAGAGAGACCAGCCACCCCAAGAAAAATTCAATTTGTTACAGTCAATCTCACAGCCAGGACGTATCACCCCAAGGAAGGTGATCAGGGAAAAGTATTAGTCGTCCTCTGCTAGCACAAGTAGTCATTTATGAGAAATGCCGATACTGAGCATTTAGATGCAACAGGAACAAGATCTCCAGGAAAATTTCACAGCGTGGATTTCTTTTGCATTAAAGTAACCGGGGAAAAATTTGAAAAACAAAGAAAAAAAAAATCACAAGCAGTTGCATGAATAATTTGGGAACAACAGCCGATTTAGCCAAACACTGGCATCGTGGCACAGCAGTGCCAGAGCGGGAGGATGGAACCAGCTCTCTCTGAGCCTGGAGGGCGACAGCATCGAATGCAGACCCCACAGTGCAAAATCTTCTCTGCGGGATGCAGAGGTGCGCAGGTCTGGGCCAGATCACAGCAGGGTGGCTCAGGACAGCGAGGGGGACACGCTGCCACACAGAATGACTTTTCCCTTCCCCAAGCAGTCCTGTGCATCAGCAGCCGTGCACAGAGACCAAAGGGTGGGATAGCCACAGCCTGTGGCTACTCGGGATATAATCGCTGCATTTCCAGAATGAAATCGCATTCCTCCTCGAGACCTCTTTCCTCAAGGAGCTGGGTGAGAAAGACCAGGTTTTGGCCAATGTCCCCTCCTTTTCCCCTTACGCCCCCAGTAATCAGAATTATGTCCTCCCTGATTGGGGTTCTTATCTTTGGGACAGCAGTTTATGAGTTATCTAGGTTCTAGTATATTTTACTTTTATTTCTATGCATTTGTATTTATCTACATATGCATTTTATGATTACATCCCAGTGAAAGCCCATATGGCAGTCAGCAAGCAGACTCATGCAACAGGAAATATATTTATGGACCAATCTTTTAATGACTCTCTGTAATCTTGGCAGCACAGTGACACTGGCCTCCAGTACCGCTCTCAGCCTTTTCCAGCCGGTCAAGCCCCTGTGCTGCTCTCCCAGTGACCATGGGCAGAGCTGCCCAGCTGGGCAGTCACCAGGAACCTTCTCTGCTGCTGCTGACCAGGACTCTCTCAGTTGCCCTCCCACCGAGCCCAAAGCAGGGATGGGAACACGCATCACTCAAGCTGTCTTCCCACCACACTTCCTATCAGTCCTCCCTGTGCTGTGATCTCCAGAACAACCCTCCCCTGCAGCCAGAACAGCACCATTTCTTCCCTGCCTTCAAAGCACCTGGCAGTGTCCCGGAGCCATCTCTAAACCCAACCTCTGTCAGCAGTTGTTCTCCCCATGCCCAGCCGCAGGGAGGGGAGGTGAGAGGAACACCTGCACACCACAGCTCTGCAGGAGACCGAGGGCTCGCTGCTGCTGCTGCTGCAGACCTCGACGTGCCTGTGCTTAACCAAGACGTCCGGGCACTTGCAACCCCAGCACGGGAGCTGGCCACGGCTCTTGGCGTCACGGTCCCTGCTCTGGTGGACTCTGCACTCCCAGACAACAACTAGGAACAGTTCTTACCATCTTCATTTTCATCCAGGGATGGTGACTTGCTGGAGGTGTTTGCTCCCATGGTGCGTTCAGCCCAGGCTCAGATCTCTCTGCTTCTCTCAGTTACGTTTCCACCCTCGAAGCCGGTGCCTCCAGGACTGTGTCACTCCCGGCAGACCTGGGCAATGTTCTGCTGGTGCATCCTGGAGAAGGCAGGAGGCAAAAATTCATCATCATTCAGAATTAAGAAGCATTTTGCAGCTGGATGTTCACTGCTCTGGAGACAAAACTGAGTGTCTGGGAAGAAGCACGTTATAATGGAGTTTACTAGAGAAACCCAGTAACGTCATAGCCTTGTAACCTCGACCAGGGCTGCTGCCCACTAAGGGAAGTGCAGAAACAGATCAAAAGATGTGAGGATCTGGCTCATGTTTGCTGTATCATCCAACATACTGTATTTTGCAGTTTCAATGATGTTATGACTGATTTAGAGATGATAAAGCACAACTAATTGTAGTGAGGTCAATATCCAAAATCAATGGATACAGTGACTTGGCTAGATAAAACCGGAAAGGCACTTTTGACTACTACGGTCACATGAAAGTGTAAAAGCTATATAAGAATAAATTCAAAGCGTCAGCCTTTTGATTCAAGCTGTTATGGAAGTCTTTCATTTGGGATGAAAATCATCCTTTTTTTTTTAAATGGAAAGATTTCATTGTAAAATCAAGTTGTGGTTATCATTCAGTTTCTTCAAACAAATTTTTGGATATGAACTATGAACAAAAAAGAAAAATCTTCTGATTTGCAGTTCAGTGCTGGCTGCCGTTGCTGGTTTTCCTCTTACACTGCAGAATGACATGTCAGTTCATTAACAGACAACACAGAATTTTCCAATTCTCCTCCAAACATGTGTGTGTATATGATTCTGTATAGTTTAGTGACACTCAAGATAGCTCGAGTGATCTTATATGGGTACAGTAGCAGTTTTATTTTTAAAGCATTTACATGCAAGGCACCTTTATATGCTTATTTTGATACTGGCATCCCTGTAAAATACAAATTTAGTTCTTGTTGGAAGTCCAAAACCCTAAAAGAATAAAATGAAGGAGTAACAGTGCAGCACAATCTGGATTTTGTCCAGCCTGGACTGCTCTCCAGGGCATTCACATTTTCATTGAACGTTTAAGGACGCGATGCAGCCTTACTCATTTTTCGCAGATCTATGCTCTGGAAACACAGTTACTGAATAGCTTCACTTTTTTAATGTAAAGTAACAAAACCGTATTATTGAAGCACAGAAAGGAGAAATTATAAAAAAAAGTTGGAGAAGAAAGAATTACTGGGACAGTCTTGGGAACTGGGACTGCCACGGGATGCGGTGGGTTCCCCACACCAGCACACTCAGCTCCTTCTCTCCAGGTAACTTCACCTCCACCACTCGGCAGGAACTCAGCTCTAACCTCACACCCTGAGTCAGGACGATTACCTTAAAGCAAGTGCCAAATCTTGCCTGAAGTTTAAAAGCAACCCCGATATTTGGGTGTCTTCCTGAACTGGGCTGCAGTGATGGAAAACTCATCCCCAATATGACAATCCTGGGAATCCAACTGTGGGTCAAGCTGCAGCAGCTGCCAGCGATGATGGCTGACTGCAATGGTATTCATCCTCCCCGCGTCAGCGGGCGTTGAGGTCCCCCAGCACTCCCCGGAGTGTCTCCCAGCACTCCCCGGAGGCATCCAGAACAGATCAGAGCCAGCACACACTCTCTCCAAGGCATTTTACAATCTCACCTGCAACCCGCCCGTGCTGCTGCTGTTGTTCACGTAGGTCTCACTGTTCCCAGCAAAGAGCAGGGGAGTTTGCATTTCTCGAAAGGCAAAAAAAACGCAGTGCAAACTATTAAAAACCCTAAAATCTTGATTTCTCAGAGAACTGAAGCAAGATCCAACAATAAAACAAAGGAAGCAGCAATTTACGATCCCTGCCGGTGCCTCTGAAGGGAACAGATCGAGCGTTCAGTCTGAAACAAAGCCACACCAGCACCTCTTCTCAAGCCCCCAAACATACTCTTCAGAGGAAAAACACATCTTCAGATGCAACAGCCATACATCAGGTTCGCATACTGATGTTTCTACATCACAGTGATGTTATTGGTGTCAAATAAGGTCAGCTGCTTGTATGGGAATCTGTAGCTTAATTTATTTTTGACAATACGTCACTACATAAAAGCTATGAGGAAGGAGCACAGGTATTCCTTGAAGTTAAGCTACTCTGAGTAATAATTACTAGGATTTGTATCTTTATAAAGTGTACCCAGGGCACAGTAATGATACATATTTTCCTGTTTCACATTGCAAAGTCACAAAACAATTAAATTCATTACTTTTGGTCCAAGACCACCAATGCTTTCACGTTAACTCCGTGCTGGGTCAGACCACTCGTTCCATGAGCAGCGTGGCAGCGGCTCCACTCATCAGTGGTCCCGGGGGCTCATCGCCCAGTCTGGCGGCCACGGCGGAACTGTTACAGGCGTGAGAGCAGCCGCGTGGGAATGCCCCGGCTCCCACCTCCAGAGCCAGGCAGCACACCTTCGTGTCACCAAGCTTATTTTATCCTCAACACATAAATGTAAAACCAAAGCAAAGCAGAGCAAAAATAACCACTTGAGTGCCGCTGCCAGGGCTTTACGCTCGCACCGCAAGCGGGCTGTGCTCTCTAATGAGGAAAAGAACTCAGCAGGACTAAGGAAAGGCTTAGATGTTTATGTGAAAGGCAAGCAGCTCGTTGCCTTGTTAGAATTATCACTGACGGATGATTACTGAGCTTCCTCGAAGAGGACCACTGACTCGGAGGGGTTCACAAATAATTTCTCCTACCACCTCTCGATTGCCCAAGTGCTGCTTAAGGGCGGGGTGCTGCTGCTGCTGTGCTGAACGACCGCAACTGGGCAGTAACGCAGCAATACACGGCATGATCCTGTCACTTTTGTCCCAGAGAAACTAAAGATTATTCTGAACTCCTCTGCAGCCGCAAGGAAGTTCAGAAAGGACGAGCAGGTACATCGGTGTCACCTTCCGCTCTCGCCTTCCTCGGGCAGCGTGGCCATGCGACCTCCCAGCCCGGCAGCGCATACCCTTCTGCGCGCTCCCGCTGCAAACCCCGCGCACCCCGCC